CGCGGCTGCGGCCGCGCGCGGCGCGGCAGGGCGGCGGGGGCGAGGAAGGCCATGGTGCGGGGGGCGGGGGGAGGGGGGGGTGACGGCGGACGTGGCAGGAGGAGTGCGGATCGCGGTGCGGGGATCGCACGCGGGCCGTATATGAGGCTGGAGGGAAGGCGCAGCAGACGGGGGCGCCAGAGCGCGGCGCAGGGGCGGATCTGTGGTGGCGGTGGTGGGGGGAGGTCACGCGCGGGTGACATGCGCGGAATGGGGGGATTTTTGAGGGACTGAAAACGACTGGCGCCAAACAGACTGCCATCCGATGCAAATCCTCTCCTCGTTGACGGGACAGCGGGACAGCGCCAAGTTGGTTGTTCCGCCGCTCCGCAACGCGCGGTGAGCAGGCTGCTTGCGGCATGCCGATCTTTTCAACACGAACCCGTGACGCCGACTAGAAGGGCCTACCACTCGAAGGGTACCCTTTGGGTACTGTACAACCTAGGACACCGAGGCGTCTCTAAAGTTTAGAGAAATGAAAAGATTTGTTTAGAGTCTAAACAAATCTTTTCATTTCGATAGAGACTGCCGTTTCCTGTCGCCTCCGCTTTGTCGAACTCAACCAATATGCACGTGCAGTGTCCACTCAACAAGACTCCTTTCTCCCTCCACAGGCCCCCAATTGTCTCCGCCTACTGTACCAGCACGTGCAGTGTCCACCTCACACGCGCGCCCTCTGCCATCACCGAGTACAAATGGTTGATGGCGTCACGCGAGGCACCCCCAAAGAGGAAACGCCAACCACGTTCGTCATGCCATGCTGCCTTGGCGCAAATCGCACCCTTATCCCATCGCCACCAGCTCCAAAATCCAAACCATTGATCTAATCCCGCGTTGTGATCCAATCCCGTTTTCCACACTATTCTCTCTTCCACTTGGCTGTCCCAACTTTCCAAGAAGAAAGCCGCCACCAATTCGCCGCCACCCCCCAGTCATACCTCCGCTCCTCCGGTTGGCCCAAGCACGCACCCGCCTTCACCGTTAGGAACGGCCCTGAGGGCTGTTCCTAACGACGAGCACGGTGTGCTAGCACGCAAGCACCCTGAAACTTGGCATGAATGTATTGGTTGAAAAAATTATTGGAAATGCTTTTACTCCCGTTCAACCAATCCATTCATGCCAAATGTCAGGGTGATCCGCCCGCGACCGACCACCCGCTGTGACTCCACCGCATCGAACCGTCGAGCCGCCCTGCTAACCTCCGCAGCAGCCCACTTTTCAACCCTCTCCCCCGCCCCGCGACGCAGCGCTTCAGAATGCTCGCCCGCCGCGCCTTGCACCCGCGCGCCTCGCGCGGTCTGCGCGCGCTCTCCGTCCCGGCAGAGGCGTCTGCCGCGCCCGCGCCCTCGCCCGCGCCGCGCCCCATGCTCGTCTCGACCCGCCCGGTGTACCTGGACATGCAGGCCACCACGCCGGTCGACCCGCGCGTCACGGACGCCATGCTGCCGCACCTCACCTCGCACTACGGCAACCCGCACTCGCGCACGCACTCGTACGGATGGGACGCGGAGGCCGCCGTTGACAAGGCCCGCGCGCATATCGCGGCCCTCATCGGCGCCGACCCGCGCGAGATCATCTTCACCTCCGGCGCCACGGAGAGCAATAATATGGTCGTCAAGGGTGTCGCCATGTTTTATAAGTCGAGGAAGAAACATATTATTACGACGCAGACCGAGCATAAGTGCGTCCTGGATAGCTGCCGATGGCTGCAGCAGCGCGGCTTTGAGGTTACCTACTTGCCGGTGGGGAAGGACGGCATTCTTGATTTGGACCAGCTGAGAGACGCCATACGCCACGATACCGCCCTGGTGTCGGTCATGGCTGTGAACAATGAGATTGGCATCGTGCAGCCGTTGAACGAGATTGGCGAGCTGTGTCGGGAGAAGAAGGCCTTCTTTCACACGGACGCGGCCCAGATGGTCGGCAAATTGCCGATCAACGTCAACGACATGAACATCGATCTCATGTCCATATCCGCGCACAAGTTCTACGGGCCGAAGGGCATTGGCGCGCTGTACTTGCGTCGCCGCCCACGCGTGCGAATCGAGCCGCAGATGAGCGGCGGCGGCCAGGAGCGCGGCCTGCGCTCGGGCACGCTGGCCACCCCGCTGGTCGTGGGCATGGGCGAGGCCGCGCGCATCGCAAACGAAGAGATGCACTACGACCTGCAGCGCGTCACCCACCTCAGCAACCGCCTATACGACGGAATCGTCCAGCGCGTGCCACAGGTCGTGCTCAACGGGAGTAAGGACCACCGCTTTCCTGGCAACTTGAACATCAGCTTTGCGTACGTAGAGGGCGAGAGCTTACTGATGGCCCTCAAGGATGTCGCCGTCAGTAGTGGCAGCGCGTGTACAAGCGCCAGTTTGGAGCCGAGTTATGTGCTCAGGGCCCTGGGTGTAGATGATGACATGGCGCATACCAGCATTCGTTTTGGAATTGGACGCTTTACAACGGAGAAGGAGGTTGACTACGCCATCGACTTGGCCGCGAAGCATGTCAAGCGGTTAAGAGATATGAGTCCCCTGTGGGAAATGGTGCAAGAGGGCGTGGATTTGAAATCCATTAAGTGGACGCAAGAGCACTAGCAGCGGACCGCTTATATATATAGTTTGTGTAGCGGTGGCGTAAAGGAGAGAGTGCCTGTGTGCTAGATGCGCGAAACGTGACTCGATTCGTGGTCTCCGCAGCCTCAATGTCCAGCAGAGTCCGTAGAACAGCATAACTCAACGAACGCGAGTATCGTAAAATTCAACTGCAGTGAGTCACGTAGTACACACCCCTGCCGTGTGAAGTTTCCTCCAAATTTCTCCTTCGCAACCCCCTCCAGAGTTGGCCTACTCTGCCGAAAAAGGGGGAAACAGCCGTGCCACGCCCCGGAGCGATTGAACAACTCCCCGTCGCCGAGGAGAGCTCTTCTGAAAGAAACCGGTTTAAATAGACAAGGATGTCCATCAAATGACCCTGCTGCCCCTCTTCCCCGCCACCAGAAAGTCCTTGGCCTCGTTGACCTTCGTCGCAAGCATGGTGCTGCCGCCGTTGTCGGGATGGTTCATGCGCATGAGTTTCCGGTGCGCCTCGCGAATCTGCTCCTTCGTCGAGCCCTCGCGCAAGCCAAGAATCTGAAAAGCCTCGCGCCGTGTCATTTCCTCCTCAAACCCACCGGCCATCGAGCGCGGAAAGCGCTTCACGGCCCCGCCGACGCCGCCCCGAGTCATGTTGCGCCACGCGAGAACGGCATAGCGCGATGCCATCGCAGCGCCGGCGACAGCCATGCCCGCAAGAAGGGGAGTTGCCATCACGGAAATTGTTCACTTGAAGTTGCGGCGGCGAAATGCTGCGCACCGTGGTTAGTCGCTGCCGGTGAAGAATCGTCCGGATGCTGCCGTCCGGATGCTGATGCTGTCGTCCGGGTGAATGGGGTCGTACCAGTGAGAGAGGGAGGGAGAGGGAGGGAGAGGGAGGGAGAGGGAGGGAGAGGGAGGGAGAGGGCGACGTCGGCACCGCAAAGGCGAATCGCAAATCTATGTCTCCACTTGTTATCGCTCCATTGGAGTAAATGTCAGAGCAAAAGAGGCGTTCCCAAAAGTTTGGAACTTTTTAACTTTTCTAACTTTCATGAAATGTTTCAAACCGCAAATCAGAGCATAGCACCGATGCAGAGATTGCTCGCCAGCCGGTCATTTGCGCATCACTTGTGTGCATCGCGTCAAGCACACCTCCCATACCGGCCTGTGCCCTCGCGTGCGACATCTTCGATCCTCAACATGCTTCGCACTGCAGCGTCAAACGCCATGCGCCTCGGCGCTTCGCGCGCCACTCGCGCCCTGTCGACGAAGAATGCCGATCTCTTGCCCCCGCTCAAGGTTGCCGTAACGGGCGCCGCGGGGCAGATTGGATATGCCCTGGTTATGCGCATCGCGAGGTATGTGTTTTCGATCCTTCAACCTTTCGCGCTACAATCGCAATGTGACGTCTGCATGTCGGCATTGATCGCGTAACGAATGCGGGGATGAGCAAACATGCAAGCAGCCCTACAGTGTCACGCGCCTGCCGCCGCTTCTAGTGGGAACACCACTTGGGAGAGACCATCTCACCGAGTGATCCGCTTCATATATTTTCGCGAGATGCACTAACTTTGCCCATCGTATTTGACTACGGTGCCACTTATTCTACAGTGGGGAGATGTTGGGGAAGGACCAGCTGATCGATCTCAACCTCATCGAAACCGAAGCAGGAATGTCTCCTCTACGCGGCGTCATGATGGAGTTGGAAGACGGCGCATTCCCGCTATTGTCCAGTGTTACCGCCACGTCTGACCTCAACAAAGGTTTCGGGGACATCAACTACGCTATGTTAGTCGGAGCTTCCCCTCGTGGCCCCGGCATGGAGCGATCCGATCTCATGGCCGCTAATGCCAAAATTTTTGCCGAGCAGGGTAAAGCCCTCAACACGTCTGCCGCTGTCAACGCCAAAGTGCTCGTTGTGGGCAACCCCGCCAACACCAATGCTTTGGTCGCCTCAGAGAACGCCCCGGATATGTGGGAAGAGCAGTTCATCGCCATGACTCGTCTCGATCAATCACGCGCACAAGCCTTGCTCGCGGAGAAGGCAGGAGCCGACGTCAAGGACGTCGACCGCGTCATCATTTGGGGCAACCATTCGGCTTCGCAGTACCCAGATTTATCACATGCTCGCATCGGGGGTAAGTGGGCTAAGTCCATAGTGAAGGACGACAAGTGGATCAAGGACGAATTTATTCCACGCGTACAGAAGCGTGGCGCAGAGGTAATTAGCGCAAGGGGTGCTTCCTCAGCTGCGTCTGCTGCATCTGCCGCGTTGGATACGGTGCGCGACTTGCACCTCGGCTCAGGTGACGCGTGGCAGTCGAACGCTGTTGTCTCAGATGGTGGCTACGGCATTCACAAAGGGTTGTGGTATTCTGTGCCAACGATTTGCAAGGGTGACTCACACTTCAGACGCGTTCAACGACTCCCTATCGATGACTTTTCCGCAAAGATGATGACTGCCACCGAGAAGGAGTTGATTGAGGAAAGAGATGCCGTTCGTCACCTACTTCCTGGGCACGAGTCCAAGCCGGTGTCTTGGAATGTCCTTGAATCGCTGCAGACATCGTTTGAGGAAGGTGACATGAAAGCAGTAGATGAAATTGCGAAGGAGTTGCCTGCGCAATTCAAAAAGGGCGTCAAGACGGCGAAGGCTGCGGCATGAGGAGGAAGCAGACCTGGCCCTCATTTGTAGCAGACACGTCGTGGTTCTAGTAAACCTGTCCGCATCATATCTTCTCTGAATTCTTTATCACAACTGCACGCCAACGAAAGACATAAGCAGTGTCCTTTTTGTATGATCATCTGGACCACGCACCGTTAGCTCCGCAATGAGAACAACTGCTTACAGAATTCAAACTAACCGTGTTTTGTTGTCCCACCTTTTTTGATCATGAGATTGAGAGGCATGGAGTCGTGCTAGTCTTATTTCCCTTCAACACTGGCTGTTAAATCTCCATGCTGAACGGTGGGCATATTTGATTTCAAATCTTGTAGTGCGGGTTATTGAACAAGATTCTGCTTACGCGGATTCGTCTGCTGGTGGATATTTTCACTCTCACTCCTTCCTGCAGCCTTCACCGTCATGATAATCGAAGCGTTGTCTACTTCCGCACTCCAAGGTTATTGCATTCACCGTAAATGCACTTATGCATCTGTAGCATCGACTCTAGATCCATGCGTACCCGCGTTGCGTCCACCTCCGAACTGGTTGACTGGTCTTCCCGCACATCTTTCTTTTACGGCTAAGCACACGACAGGCTTATCGTGACATTTGTATTCTGCACTTTCCCCAAGGTTCTTCAAGGTCCACAGCATGACCTGTCTGTTACTGCTGCAGGTGAAGATAAAGTCTTCTGAATCTCCCACAAACGCAGCATCCCAAATCCATCCAGGATGCGAACCGAAATCCCATACCGGGGTGACGCTCTCTTCGCGCTTATCTGCTCCCTCAGCCGGTATCGTTCTGCTAGCTTTAATATCCTGCATTCGAAAAACCTTAACTGCGCCTTGTTTTGTCGTACACACGAGTAGGTTGGACAAAGGGCTGAGTCGAACGCGTGTGATGTAGGTGGAATTAGCGCGGAACGAGATGGGGGCGATACCGGAATGTGCGAGCATTTTCTTGACATCGTAGACAAAAACCATGCCATCGAAATTAGCCAGGACAAGAATGTCGTAGTCTGAGGAGAGTTCCAAGCACTGCAAGTTTCGCTTGCTGTGATGCGGAATGAACTCCTTGCAACAGCGGCGGGTAGCATGGTCCCAGACTCGCAGGCGGCCTTTCGCGTCTGCAGTGAAGAAGAGATCGTCCGGGGGATAGTAGATGGCGTCGTGAATTGGTACCATGGTCGAGCCTTGCTTGTTTTCAAACTTGGTAGGCTGGAATGTTCTCCCGGATGGCAAAGGGGAGCTGCCTAGCACGCCCATAGTAGGGGCTTGCGGAAACGCGGGGTGGGCCATGCCATGACTCGAATACAGGGAGTTGGGACCTCCGTACAAATGGGGTGAATGTGCAGTGGCTGGGAGCCAGGTTTGCAGGGTGCCATCCTCTGAGGCGGAGAAAACGAAAGAGGAGTTGATGGGCTCGAATCCCACGGCGGTAACGGGCTCTGTGTGTCCTTTGAAAGGGGCGAATATATTGGGAGGAGTATCGTTGGTGGAGACGTCGTAGACGCACACGAGCAGAGAGCCGCCGACAATCAGATAGAGCGGGTGGTTAACGGCAACTTTTCCCTTGCCGGAAAAGGCGATGCGGATGACATGCTGTTCGCCGAACTGGAGTTCGCGCACTAGGCTCTTGTTTTGGGCGTCGAAGAAGCGCACAAAGGTGTCGTAGCCGCCCGTGGCGAGAATGTATTGCGAACTGGGGACCTGACCGGTGCGGGTCTGGACGCCGGTGGTTGCAGGTGGCATTGCATGAGCGGAAGATGCGGAAGGGGTAGAGGGTTGGTTGCGAAGTGGCGTCGGTGTGCTCCAGCCCGGGTTCAGTGCATGGCACAGGAGGCGGGCGACGGGGTGAACACGGATGACGGTGGGACAAAGAGTGAGGCGGGATGGCAGAGTATGAGAGATGAGCGGTCCCGGCGGTGGTGCACAGACAGGCGGCACTGTGTTTTAGGACTCGGGACGGAATCTTGTCCAGCAGTGCGGACTACGGTACAAGGGATGAGCGGTTCTTAGACAGCCGTATTCCAAGTAGTACAGCCCTAGCTCCAGGTCTTATTTCCGCATTATTGAAGTACAGCTGTACAAGTTAAGGCCAAAGAAGAAGACTCCGGACTTGCCGTCCTGAAAATAATGGAATAAAGAGGAGTCACGTGTGAGAAACCGTTGAAAACAACCTCTAAGCCACCATGCGCTATTCCGCTATATGTGCGTTCCCGTGTTCGAAAGAAGTGTGGCATAAGCCGTGTGCCAACGCCTCGGCCCTCACAACGGCCCTGAGGGCCGTTCCTAACGAAGAGTTCGCGGCACGCCACACCTTCCTAGAAGCCATACAGTACTTCCCTGCCCACTCCTCGCACTGCTACAGAACCACAGCAGTTGAGAGGGAGCACCCACATTCCTGTCCCAGATGTACCCAAAAAAGCGATCTACGCCTCGATCCCCCGGAGCAGCGCTGGGTAACGTACCAGCGCCGACCGGCGGAGGCGGATCTAGCTCGCTCGCGTACACGGCTGTCCCCTACCCACTTTGTCCCGGTTAACGCGCGCGAAGGCGGATCGCGCTCGTCAGTTAAGCTGGAAGACGGAACTAGGCGGTAGGTCGTGGACAAATCCGTGCTTGTCCACCTACCCCGCCGCCGGTCGCGCTCGTATTTAATGTATACAATGCGACTATCATAATACTACAGTAACGGAATGCTGTAGTAACTTACTGTAGCGCGGGTCGTCCCACG